GTAAAATTATAATTGAAATAAAGTTTGTGATTTATTTTGTAAATGGAAAAAAATGATAATAATTTCTATTTCCAAAAGGAGATGAAAACAATCATCTATGTAATGTGTGCAGAGAATCTCTGATAATAACAGTTTTGTTATGGAGCCATCGGATGACTCAACTTATGGAGTCATCCACACTTATTCACCAATAGTGTATTGATACGTGTCCTGCAATAAATACAATTTGAACAGGTGTCATTAAGTAGTGGATGGCTCCATAAGAAAACCATCCGATGGCTCCATAAATTTTTTGCTGACAATAAAACATTCTGATTTAGATGACTGGAAAATTCTTGGCATACAAGAACATTACAAGATTTATAGCGTCGGCCTAAAATCAACTAAAACAAAAAATGAATTTTTTGGATTCCAATTTTGAAAAATTCTTTCATTTTCCACAATAGGTATACATACCATACCATCCCATTTGGTGATAGACCAATAGATTTATGCATAACCTTGTCTTTCACCATGATATAGTGATTATTAGTGGCTACAACAACGTAGTTCTAATTTTAAGAATATATAAGCAAAAAAAGGAGCCAAAAGCACAAACAACAGAAAGAGGCCAGATAACAAAATACATCAAAAGCACAACTTTAGTTCCAGCAAATGTTTTTCTGATATATTGCAAGTTTACATAGTATAATTATGAGAGTAGTTATATTGAACAACATGCTTGAGAAACTAGTGCCCTGAACTTTGCTCCTCTCCATTCCGTGTAGTTAAGCTAAAGTTGCTCTTTTACCTTTTGCATCTCTCGACTGCACGAAAAACACAGGCACATAAACGATCCACACAAATTGCCAAGATAGAAATGGCTTATTTTGAGTATTAGCTTAGTTACAGAACAATCCTCAAGAGTGGAATATTTGCAGCACTTTGATGGGTTATTTTGTGTTCTGAAAGTTGATTAGATGAAACCTTAGGGTTACTTTTTCATTTTCGTTATTTTTTGTTTTCATTTTCATCCCAAAATAATTTCCCACGTGTTTTCTCAGTTTCTTCACATTTTTGTCATTATTTTTCGACTTAAACTTTATTTAGAGTATGAGTAGTCAAAGAACATTTAGTACAAGAACTGATTGTGGAAATCAAGTCATTTTATGAGGCTTCTAATTTGTGAGGAACTTTTCAGTAGGAGAAAGAGAGAGAGAGAGAGAGAGAGAGACCTGCGCAGCTATCGACCGTTTGGAATCGAGAAATTGGCTGTAGATATCATATAACCTATGCTTCTCGGCTTCTGAAACGGATGATTTAGCCTTGGAAGCAATGGACTTCAAAAGATTGCCTGTGATCACAGGCATCTTTCCAGTTGGGCTGCTGTCAAGAAGCTCGTGAACTGCTTCCAGCTGTGCATCTGAAAGAAGCGCTTGAAGGTCTGCTCCGCTAAAGCCCTCAGTCATACGAGCTATGAGCTCCAGGTCGACATCAGCAGCCATTGGTAACTGCAGTTACGAACAGTCAAATAACGTGTCATGGAAAAAGAAGCAATGACTAGCCAAGAAGGATAGGAATTATTTAAGGTTCATTACAAAAACTACACCCGACGTCTTACAGCAATTGCCAAAAGAGAGAGGTAAGTTTGATGATTACAGTAACTACCTTCAAGGGGTTGATTTCGATCATCCACACTGTGCACCCACCATTAGTTGAAATGATGGAATTTGTTGTGTTAATTATAATTGGAAATTGCCTAGCTTTTAATTTTGTTTATAACACATAAAATGTAGAGGGATATAGATGTCGAAAAGAAAAAAAAAAAAAGACAACGGCATTACTTGTAATTTTAAGAAGTTGAGAAGGAATGCATTTATGAATATGTTAACATCAGCAACTTCTGTTACCGTAACCTACAACAGGCATGATGAAAATAACTAAATATTATTTCTTATATTTTTCAAAGTTCGATGGGGGTTATTTGGTGATTTGGCTAAACCTGAATGATAATATAATACATATATATATACCAAACTATTTTAAAAAAGGTACCAGAACATACAACATTCCAACCATATCGAACATAGATTGAAGAAATAGACGGGCAGTGGGCACTAACCTTTCTCGAAAGGACCTTAAGAATATCCAATCTCCCTTGATGGGATGGAAAATCACAAAATAAAAGCCGATCGAGCCTCCCGGGCCGTAATAGAGCAGCATCAAGCAAATCTGGCCGACTGATTTTCAGAAAGGACGTGATATTAATTTTGGAAAGGAGAATGACTTCGACGATATGGAAAAGTTGATGCAAGAAAATGTCAAAAAACTATGATACAACAATTAAGTCCGGAAGCATAACTTACCTTGTTGCAGCAAAAACAAATACACCGGTCAAGACTTCAACACCATCTAATTCTGTCAGAAACTGGCAGATAATATGACAGGTATCAATCAGAG